TATAAGGAATGCCAGTGGTATGAAGAATATCCCAAGTGGCACAAAATTGTTGAAATTTAGCCGAAGTATATGCAGGACCATTATCAGTTTTAAGAGCTTGGGGACATCCCATAGTTGCAATGGCTTGGGTGAAATGATGACAGGCATGAGTAAAACGGTTTCCAGAAAGGGCTGTAGCGTAGAGAAACCCAGAATATATTAGCCAAATGAAAGCCTTTACTACAGCGGGGACACTTTTGGGTTGGAAGTTTAGTGTTGGCATTTTTGTTTTTTAAACTGTGACAGTCTTTCTTAAAATGTCCATCCAGGTTTGCCGCACCCAAAACAGGTGGCAGTGGCTGGACGGAGAGCTGCCGCTAATACTTGTGCCTTATGAGTTTCTGTGCCAACATTTTGACATGCTCTAATAGCTTCTTCTGACACCTTACACTGTTCAGAAGAGAGTTCCCCATAGTGAGGGAGAAACGGAAAATGAAGGAAAGAATGATAGGAAAACTTCTGGCCTGAAGCCTGAAATCCCTTGAGGGAGCATATGAGAAAGCCCCGCCGCTCCCAGGGCTATAGCAGCCTGAATTGAGAGAGTCTGGGAAAGTTCTGCCCACGGAAAAGCCCCACCGCTCCCGGGGCTGTAAGAGCAGCCCAAGATAGACGCGCGTCTTATACTCACCACCTTCAGGGATTGAGTGAGAGGGTGTCTACAGCACCCTCACACGGGGCACCATCTGTTGCAGCCCCCCACACGGGGCACCATCTGTCGCAGCCTCTCACACGGGGCACCATCTGTTGCAGCAGCGGCGAATGTCGGGACAGCGGAGACAGTAACCAAACACAACTCTTACAGAGACGTGGGGCCAGGAGGGTCACTCTGAGGAGTTGACCCTTGGCTTCAGTCCCAGGAGTTTATTTATAGTCAATACAGCAAGCAGTGAAGCAAATAACAGAACAGTGGGCTTTGGGTGAGTAACAATAAGTTTCGGGCAAGGGAGAAGGAATTCAGGTAAACAAGCCAATCAGTAACGGGACAGTAGGTTTGGGAAAACAAATCGTGACAAGTCTCAACATGTTGGGGACAAGTCTCAACATGCTGTGCAGCGTAGAGTCCTGTGGGAGCTGCGGTTGTCAATAGTGCAGCCATGTTTAAATGCATATATCCGCACAATTAACCACAGGCAGAGATTAGGATTTACAACACATAGGAAAATTACATCAATCACAAAATGGAGGACAGCTACTCAATGCTGGGAATCATGGCCTAACCAAGTAAACACGTATTTCGGGGGGGCAAAGTTTAATCCATGACACAGTAATTGTTTTAGCCTGCTTGATTTTTAGATACTATTGCCATATGAAGTTGAACATGGCAGAAGAAGAGGACTACATGTCTGATTCCTTCATTAATGTCCAGTAAGTAAATATACACATTTCAGGTAGTAATGTGTTATAAGACATGTGTGACTATTAAGCAGTGGGATTTATTTTAAGTGTAAAGTTGAAGAGTTGGTCTTACTGCTTTATAGAAATACCTCCTGTGTGTCCATATAGAGGACTAGGAGCCCCTTCCTCCCTTCTAATGCTAACCATTTTACTTCTGCCCTTGATCCTTTTTATTCTCCTCTTCTAAGGAAATTTACTCCTTTTCCTTTATATCATCTTATTGTCCCTTCTAGCTATTATCCAGTTTTACTCTTTATTTTGTCAACCTGCTAGAAAAATTAGCCTACACTTAAAAAACCAAACCCTCGCCATCGAGTTGATTCCGACTCGTAGTGACCCTATAAGACAGAGTAGAACTGCCTCATAAGGTTTCCAAGGAGCGCCTGGTGGATTTGAATTGCTGACATTTTGGTTAGCAGCAGA